ACTTTTGATCTAATCAATATTTTTTTACGCTCGAGGGCTAGTTTTGTAAGTCTTTTGAAGACGAAAAATAAAGTAGCTTATTGTTTTCTCGTGGAAATGAACGGAAAAAAGATATAAGCGAAAAACGTGAATTTACGTAAAAATTATACAATTAACCACCCGTACACAACCTTCCCTCCATTTTTATTTCTGTGGAAACTAATATGTTATGGTACATAATATTTAGCATCTATAGTGATAAATTCAGCTTGCCGAAACAAAAAGTCGCGTCCAACTCTATATTTCCTGGCCTAATGAAATATACTATTATTCAAATAAGGAAATCCTTATTCGTGGATTAACATTTTGGTAATAAATTCAATACCGCTCTTAGAAGTTTGAATATTAACAGAAAGAACAAAGAGAAAAATATTCTTGTTGAACGACTTTCTGTGCTCATTTAAATACCTTCTATGATTAACTTATTTCTTCACGAGATATAAAAGCCTTCTGTTTAGCGACCTTAAAACACATAAACTGAAAATTATTGCACTTTTTACGAAAACAATTATTTCCTAGCATTTCATTTACTAGCTGTGTATAAAATAATTCTGTCTTAAACTATTTTTTGCTATTTGCACTAATCATGCACCAATAATTATCTTATTGGAACTACGATTTCTTTTATACGGTCAACCGACCATATAATCCAGCATACATCCTATTTTTCTTAGTTTATGTATAAATTACTAGCCCGGATACGCTTAATATTTGTAACGTTTAAATGAGAACAAACAAAACATGAATATTTACACAGCTAAAATTGTTATTGCAATGTAACAAAGGGAATGAAAGTTTTTGACGATAAAAACTACCGATTGCTTCCAAAACCATGATAAAAACAACGAATTACCGAGAAGGAAATCGAAGTTTATTGCGAATGTTGAAAAAATGGGAAGATTGTTTCTATTTTTATATTTTAAATAAGTATAGAACTAGGAGTCAATGCAATCTGTAATAATCTAACAGACTTCTATGTATAAGTGAGATGAAAATTAGAAAACTTAATTATAATTCAAGATCATTAAAATTATGTTTAGCGCGTAGATTTACTAGAGAAATTTTACACATACTAGTAATAAGCAACAGGTGGAAGATAGTAAGGTAGTCATTGTAATTTCGGCCTAATTTCTACTTGGTGTTGAAGGAGAAATCTTAACAAAGGAAATTAGTAGGTAGATAATACAATATTTAAAAGAAAAATCGATATAATTTAAATGATACGGGATTATGGAAACAATTTACCAAATTTAATATTACGTTTGTGAACATTTGGAGCCAAAAGTACGTTTTATTTCCCCACTGTATGTCTTAAAGCACCAGCGCAAATATTTACGGAACTACAAATATCCTTCAAATCACTAAAAAGACCTTATATGAAAGTAAATTCCATATGTAATATGTAAACTTAAGTACATACTGAATAAAAATGTTTTTTGCCAAATCCGATTAATATGAAGGAAAGGTTAAATTTATTTATTTCTTCTAGCATCTAATTTGATTGTATTTGCTTCTATATTTTGTTTAATGGTACATATTTGTGAAACTGCTGTTCATATTCACACTTGCAGTTTCACTCATTCAAATGGAATTTGCATATCTCGCCAACAGCTGTTATATCTATAATTTTTCACTGTCCTTGATTCTTTCAAACGCAATATAATTTTTTGCTAAAGTCAGTGAACTACAAACTTTCTTTCGTGCTATATGCGGCTAATTTTAACGACCTTAATTGGTTCGTAATAGTTACATTATGGAATAAGTTTTCATGAATTTTTTTTTGATCTCACCAAAAAAATACTAAACTTTCTGGGTATTTGAAGTGCACATATTTTAACAGACATTATTAAAAAGTTTTAAGATCGTTATATAGCATCAGAACTTTTTGTCACATAACTATGCGCAAGTTATCAGGAAGGAAACAAGTATTTTCCGATATATTTTAATACAATCGGAAGTATAATAAATATTCTGTGGTTAACACTACATAATATTTATTGTTTTACAGTTGATCAAGCTTTAATATCGGAGTTTGTTATAACATCAAACCAACAAGTGGGCAATGTGGAAATCAAGTTTTACGTAATAAAAAAATATATAACAAAAATATTTGTGCATATTTGCAAGTATATTTATCATGGCTAGTTTAGTGTACGTTTAAAGATTAGTAGAAATTTCATTAAACATTAAACTGTTCACATAAAAGCAATCAGAATAATAAAAATGATTACACATTCTCCGCACTACCAAAAAGAAACCTAATTTGAATGATACGTGGACGAGATACAACTTTTCTTTTTTAATAAATATTCTAATCCAGCTGAGGCAGATTCAATGTTAAAAGTTTGATTCGTGAAAAAGTGGTTTGGATGATTCAACCTTGCTTCAATCCAATCTGGTATTTGTATTACCAACAATGTAGAAAAGGTCAATGACAAATCCTTTTATTTAAGTTCTATATATTGTTTTTTTATGCGGCAAGTTGAAACATTTCAAAATAAAACTACAATGAGCTGTTGCATTACGAAATTTTTATATAGCGTTATATAATATTTAATATTTATTTATAATTTGCATACAATTTAAGCACAGTTATAATAAAAATTGGAAATCAAATCGTGCAAAAAAATGAATTGTTTAATATTTACATAAATTTTAAATAAATTATTTAACAGTGATTTTGGTTTTATGTATATGTAGTCCTTTCACAAGGGTTTGATGAATATTAATCGGTTTTCTATGATCATAAATATAACTTTGACACAATCGTCTGTAATATACAAAACGAAGAGTAAAATAATAGAGCTTAGGTCACTTTTTTTTAAGAGAACTATACTAGTTCAAATACTTTTGTTTTTTTAGACACCGACTGTTAAACTATTGCACTATTAACAACCTCTTACTTGAATATTTTGATCATTCAGAGTAAATATATCCACTCCTTATTACATTAAATATTTTCCTTATTATCAATTCAAATAACTACGTAGACTTGGCTATAAAATTGCATTTAATTCTAATGACATTTACAGCTTGACCAAATAATCTCGTCCGCAAGATGCGCAGATCAAGGAGAGAGTCCGCACTAGAAGTGACAGAGACAAGATAAATTGGTTGAAGCTGTATCGGCCACTTGCAATAATGAAAACAGAACTAATAATGGCTTCAAAATCAGAGAAAAAAATCAGAGAAAATAATATAAAAATAGATTAGTCAAAATATATACAAAATGATAATTTTATGGTGTAGCAATTGAAAAATCTGAGAATATGGCGTTTGAAATATGTTGGCACGTCTATGGAAAACACTTTGTATGAAATAATGAATGTCTATTTAAAAATAACAAAAATTTTAACAGACCGTGTTTCTAGCAAAATCTAAAGAATTTTCTGTAATTTGGCAGCGTCGCAACCAAATGAAAAATTTTTCGCCGAACACTGTGTAGGTGTTCCATTTTAGAAAAACTATTTGAAAATTGTTTTAAAATATATTGTTTTTAGTACCAACAAAAGTTAAAAAGAATAAAAATATTGTACAAAGCGGGATATAAATTATGGTGTAGCGATTGAAAAATCTGAAAAAATGGAGTTTGAAATATATTGGCACGTCTATGGAAAACACCCTGTATAAAATGATGAATGTCTATTTGAAAATGACAAAAATCTTAACAGACCGTGTTTCTAGCAAAATCTAAAGAATTTTCTGTAATTTAGAAACGTCGCAACCAAATGAAAAATTGTATCTCGGTTCGCGAAATTTTTCGGCGAATACGTTAACACTGGGTAGGCATTCCATTTTAGAAAAACTGTTTGAAAATTGTTTTAAAATATATTGTTTTTAGTACCAACAAAAGAAAGAGAATTAAAATATGTACAAAACAAGATAAAATAAATTTATGGTGTAGCAAATGAAAATCTGAGAAAATAGCGTTTGAAATATGTTGGCCAGTCTATGAAAAACACCCTATATAAAATAATTAACGTCTTGAAAATCTGAAGTGGGTAGTTAACGTTTGCTTTTTTGACTTATCAAATATTTTATTCCCATAATAATGACAAAAAAATTCGCAAAATCTAAAAAATTTTGTGTAATTTGGCAACATACAACCAAATGAAAAATTTTATCTCTGTTCGCAAAATTTTTCGGCATTCCATTTTAGAAAAACGATTTGAAAATTGAATTGTTTTAAAATATATTGTTTTTAGTACCAACAAAAGTTAAAAAGAATCAAAATATGTACAAAACAAGATAAAATAAATTTATGGTTTGGCAATTGAACAATCTGAGAAAATGGCGTTTGAAATATGTTGGCCTGTCTATGGAAAATACCCTATATAAAATAATGAAGTGGGTTGTCAACTTTTGTTTTTTTGACTGTCAAACATTTATTACCATAATAATACCTAAAATTTTCAACACCTTTTTTCAACGCAATATCTAAAGAAATTTCTGAAATTTGGCAACATCACAGCTAAATAAAATATGCAAAACTGTGTAGCTGCTCCATTTTAGAAAAGCTATTTGAAAATTGTTATAAAATATAGTTTTTTATTCTGTTCCATTATTTATTACTTAATTTTTTGTATTATATGTAGATTAAAAAAATAAGATATGTACTTTGCTCCAGGTTATTGATTTAATATTTTTTTTCGAAAACTTAACACCACAATTAAGAAAATAATATTTTGGTGAATTTAAATAACAAACACAAATTCATATAAAGAATAACATTTTCTCAAAAATTTTACAAATAAAAAGTTTTCCGTCTTCACGACACAATCGTAGAACATAAAACAATTATTTTTAAATTTTTTTCTGAACGTAACAATTTTTTTATTTCATGTAAAAAAATCTTCCACGTCTCCACACGCAATCAAAGCGACATTATCTCAATTTATATAATTGCTACACGTATCAAAAGCAACAATGCAACAACGCAAGTGTTAATCACTCTTCCTTACCTATTGGTGGATTTTGCAGCCTAATATTAATCACAATACAACTGCACTGTCTGGGATAACTTCGGTAACTAAATTAAATCACTCCTGGCTGGGAAATTTTGCGTGAAAGTGAGATTAGCGGGAGAGAATATCTTAACTTTCGAGTCTTGGACAGTTTACCGCCTAGGCCTAGGGACAGTCATCGAACACTGCGACTCTTACTTTCGCATATGCTAAGACTAATTCAAAATCGACTCAGCGTATTGAAAACAGACTACAATTGTAAAATGACCTGAATTGCAATTGCCAAAACGCCGTACTTTCCTTACAAATGAAATAAGTTTGATTGGTGCAATTTCAAGTGTCGGATATTTTACCTACAGGTTTACTGTTACTTGTAGCGTGGAAGATATTCGAATTCATCTGTGGTTGTGGTCTGTTATGACCGGAAGGAAGTGGATATTTGCATTTCTTTACTCGGTTTTAGTTAAGTCACTTAACTTAAGTCGGTATTTTGTTATGGTTACAGAAACATACACACAAAAAAGGATTTCTTGAATTAAGAATAACATTTTTTTCTCTATTTTTAAGGTATTAAGTTAATTCAAATTAAAAAAAGTTAATTTTCTCCAATGTAGTCAGACAAATGTTCTTCGATATCAGAAATTGGAATCCTCTGGATTTCTATTTATGGGGATATATTAAAACTCTGGTTTATTCTAGGCCTACTGTCGATATCAGAAATGGATTGAGGCAAAGAATAGTGTCAGCAGCAAATAACGTAGGTATATACTTCCAATATTCTTAACAGTTAGAAGAAATTTATTAAAGAGATGTCAAAAATGCATTGAAGCCATTTACGTTTCGAAAATCAAAGAGTGATCGCAAAAAACCTGTGATTTTCGCTCGCTTTTTCAAAATTCGCAGAAAATTTAAAAAAATACATAAAAATATGTTTTTGGTCGCAAATTATCTACTTGTCGTAAAAACTGAAATGAGCATAGCTCTTTGTATGTTAAAAATTTTTAAAATCACCCCTCCTTAGATGTTGAAAAAATTCCAAAAATGAAGATTTTGAATATTACCAATTGATATGAAAACTATTAGCATGTGAATTATCTTAATATATTTTTTCTAGCATTTTTACAATTATTTCTGATATTCTCTATTTTTGGGGATGATGCCACCCCCTGAGCGCGCTTAAGGGTGAATTTCCTAATTCAACATGCTTATTTTAGTCATGAGAATAAATATTTCTTTGTATCAAGAATCATTCGATAAAAAATTTACATGCTAATAGTTTTTATATTTATTGGTAATATTCAATTCTTCATTTTGGGCATCTTTTCAACCCCTAAATAGGACTGATTTTTTAAAATTTTCAAAAAACTAATCTTAATTTTTTATGACGAGTAATTTAAGACAAAATCATATTTTTATCTATTTCCTTTAGTTCTGTGCGAATTGTGAAAAAACAGGCGATTTTTGCGGTCACTCTTTAAAAGAAAAAATTGTTTTTGTTATTACATTTAGGTCTAAATGGTTATTTTTTGTTTTGTTATTTTTAAATGTTTAGTATCTTTCACGTTGCCATATTTTTCTGTCTTTGGTTTCATGATTACGTTTGCAATTGTTACAAGAATCACTTTACCAACTGTAACAATCTTTTGAATTAATAATTAATTGCAATTTATGTATTATTTATTTATTATGTAACTTATTATGTGCCTCTTTTAAATGTTATTTTCTTTAAAATGGCGCAATTCAGCTACATGCAACAAAGATACATTTTTTATAGCAAATCGAATGTTGTTTTAAAATAACTAATCTTTTTCCAAAAATATAGATCCTTAAAAAAAATCTGAAGTAAATAATGTAGTGGCAAGGGCGCTCAGAACGTCCTGTATATATATCGCAAAAAGCAAGCACAAAAACACAAAAAAATTACTTTTCCAAAATTCGAGTAAAATCACGGAAATAATAAATAAATTATAGTAAAAATGTGAAATAAAAAAACTACTTTCTCGGGTCTGTATATTTTTCACAAAAATCAAGCTAATATTCGTGTTTATAACCCAAAAATTATCGTAAAAAAGACTAATTTCTCGGGCGTATATTTATCGCAAAAAACAAGCAAATATTCGTGTTTACAACACAAAAAAACCTACTTTTTCAAAATTTAAATAACCCAAATAATAAATTATCGTAAAAATATGAAATAAGAATACCACTTTTCTCGGGCATATTTATCGAATATATTTATAGCAAAAAACAAGCAGATATTCGTGTGTAGGTACAAAAAACTACTTTTCCAAAATTTTAAAATTACCCAAATAATAAATAAATTATTGTAAAAATGTGAAATAAAAAAACTACTTTCTCAGGCCTGCATATTTGTAGCAAAAAACAAGCAGATATTCGTGTTTATAACACAAAACACCTATTTTCCAAAATTTGAGTAAAATGACCCAAGTAATAAATAATGTATCGTAAAAATTGTGAAATAAAAAAAATACTTTCTCGGGCCTATAACTTGTCAAGGAAACTAGCCTTAAAGTATGGCCCAGTCTTTAGTACACATCCTGTACAGTAGACCAAAGTTATGTAACCAGAATTAAAAAAGAAACTTGATGTACCAACCTAGCCAATTATTGCAAATAAGATGAAATTTTTTATCTTAAAACCGACAAATTAGCAAAGCAAACTTTAAAAAGATAATACTCCTAACTTTTTCTACAAAATAATACATTTTTTCAAGACCAAATCGATTATCAGATTCTAACTAACGCAATGTTTTTACTCTTTAGCTTACTATTCGCATATATTTAACATTTACCTATTGCATAGATAAGTAGATAATAATACGTTTAAATAATCTGTAAAATAACTCAAGCTTTAGTTCATAAAAACGTTTACCAAAACGTCGATGTTTGTTGTCCGTCTATAATACTATCTGCTCTGCAAGCGAATAAATTGCAGCTATTAAATGCTTTGAGAATATAATTTATAGCTCTATGTGAAGGATGGTAACCTACAAACCCGGATTTGGTAAAATAAAACCAAAGACTCATTACGTAGTTTTATAATAAAACGTAAGTTTCTTCAACACGTAAATTATATTATAACACGATAATACAACAAGCAAAGAGATTATTTCAGACCTCATCAACGTATACATTGCTATAAAAAAACAGAATACAAACGCTGCAGCAGGATCCTTTACCTCAGGATGCGGCTTAAATTGCAATTAACAATACCAGCTGTTGGAATTGCACAATGAAGTCATAACAAAGTAGTCGTCGGTACCACGAAGAGATGAACAAATTGGATCTGCATAATTATCAGTTGCAAGAAGCTTGCTCAACTAAATTTCAAAACAATGTATGAGGACATCTTCTCTTTGGGAGAATATTGAATGGAATATTTTAGTTTTAATTGTTATATTTGTTGAAGAGGTGTTGGTGAATAGAGCAATAAAACAATATTAATTTTTGTGGCGTAATTATATAATACGTAGTGGGAATCAGGAAGATTTTCACAATCTAAACTAATTTCGAAAAAACAGTATAGGTTAAAAAAAGTTTAAAACAAAACTTAATATTCTTTGTTCGATGCTCATTTTTGTACCGAACATATTGTCACTTAGCCGTAATAACTCCGCTTCCATACGTCCAAATGTTATAAAATTTTGACAGTGCATCAGTGAAGGATCTACCTTTCCGATTCCCCTAGTAGGCCAGGAAATATTGAGTTGGACGCGACTTTTTGTTTCGGCAAGCTGAATTTATCACTATAGACAAGGTGACCAACCGTACCGGATTGGCCGGGACACGTTCCGGTTTTCTGGAGTACATCCCGGAAAATAAACCCGTTCCGGATTGTACCGGATTTTTTATTAAAGTTCCTAAATTTCCTATTTTTAATATTCTTTTAAAGAAACCTTAAAGTGAAGCGTTAGCAACGGTGTTATTGCGCTAATTGACGGTCTACGGTCTTTCTTGTCTGTGGCGTGAACCCGAATTTGCGGGATTCCCCGATTTAGCCGGGCTTGTGCCTTGCTTCCCATTTTACATTAGATTATTAGGATTATTAGGTATTCGTTTAATATACTGCACAGAGCAGTGACTAATGATAAAACGAGCGCCCTGTGAGGTTCCATTGCATGTTACGTGACAAACTAGACATTATTTATTTGGTTATTAGTGTTATTACTTTAGCTATTCTTTTCACAGGTAAGAAAACTAGATAATATGAATTAAATATGTAAGTTACGGCTTGAGTAAAATACTGTGGCATATTTAGTTAGCAGTTATTTGAGCAACGCAAAAAAATACGCGTTTTATTATCAGATAGAAAATACATTTTTTTCTGTTGCAGACATGTCCGCAAAAAGACGAAAGTGCGTTTTCAATGAGAACCTACAAAAAATGTATCCATTTTTGCGTAAATTTGGTCATGATAATTCCCAGGTCCATTACAGTTTATGTGGATCTAAGTTTTCTTTGGGACATAGAGGTAATAGTGACATTCAAGACCACTTAAAGCCTAATAAACATAAACTTGGTGCATTGGCTGTTGCTGGAACAAGTCGTATGAAAACATATTGCAAATCCAGCACGTTGGATGAAAAAATTAGAAAAATTTTAGCTGCGGAATGAGTCTGGGCGTTTCACCTTGTACAGCATAATCAAAGTTTTAGATCAGCGGATTGTACTTCAAAATTAATTCAAACAATATTTGAACCTAAATATTCATGTGCTCGGACAAAATCTGAAACCATCATTAAGGGAGTTTTTGAGCCAATGTTCATGGAAAATCTTGAAAGTGATTTAAAGAGTATAAACTTTATTACTGTCTGCTGTGATGCATCTAATCATAAAAATACAAAACTTATTCCAATTTTAATAAGATATTTCATGCCTACTACGGGCATTCAACTGAAAGTTTTAGAATTAAAAGACTTGCCAGGCGAAACTTCTGACTTAGTTAGCGAATATTTGATTAGTGTTTTATCAAAACACAGCCTCAATAAAAAAGTAGTTGGGTTGTGTGCGGATAACACCAATTCAAATTTTGGTGGAGCTGCTAGGAGAGGGCAAAACAATGTATACGCCAAAGTAAAGAAA